TTGAAGAAAAGTAAAAAAGGTTAAATATAAAAAATGACCTTATATATAATAGAAAAAAATATTTTTAAAATATTAATATTTTAAAATTAAAATTTAAATATAAATTCGGAGTGGAGACGTGGACAAGGTCTGGGTGGGGATTGCATTACCTATCCGCGCACGCCGCGCCCGGTCAACTTGGTTTTTCTCCGTCAAACTCGGGCGAGGAGGGATCGATCCCTACGAATACGAGTTTAATTGTCATCCCTACCTACCACCAATTATATTAAATATATATATATATATATATATATATATATTAAAAAAATTAAAGAAAATTTATTTTATAGATATAAATAAACTTTTTTCCTAAAATTTTATTTATAATAAATATTACATTATTCTCTTACACTGTTTTTCTCTTTCTTCCTTTTATCTTCATAATATTTTTATTTTTTTTCTTCTCCCACATTTTCATTTCCCCACTTCAATTTCTTCCATCGCACACTCACTTTCTCTATTTTTTTCACATTTTTTATCTATTTTTTATTATCACTTATTCACTTTCATATTCTTTTCTTTGATGATTTCACTTATAATAAAATTTCTAAGTTTGTCTCTTTAGTTTCAAATTTTTCTTTTTTACAATTTCATATTTATAATATAAAAATTATAATTTTTTGTTCTCAAATTTTTTAGTGTTTTTCTTATGTTCACATTGAAGGCATAAGACAAGAGGTTAAAAAATAAAGAAGATATTCCATAATATTTTTTTTAAAACAAAAAGCTAGTAAGCAAATTTATTTTCTTTATTGTTTTTGTTTATTATTATTATAACAAATTAGTATGTGTAGTATAGTAAAAAAATATGAATTATTGATATAAATTTTTTATTTGCTATAAATTTATTAGTTATTTTATTTTTTTATGATGTTCTATTTTAATATTAAAATGTGAATAAAAAAATTCAAATTAAATTTTAAAGATTTTAAAAAAATTATAAACTCAGTTTTTACGAGAAAAAATAAAATAAATGATAAAATAAACTTTAGTTTATAAAATTTAAATTCAATTAGTAATATTGAACAAGGTGATAAACCTTTTATATAATATATCTATTTGTATATAATGATTAATTTTTACATGTTGGTCCCTCGTATCAAATTATAGTTTCACCCCTCATTACATAGTTCTAAAAAAAATTTATAATAAGAGAAGTCAAGATGACATTTACGTATGCCAAATGGAACAAAATTTAAAATATATATTATTACCAAATGATGCAAATTTTGAACTTAAAAGTATATTTTACTTTCCCAAATCTAATAAAATTTATCAAGTTTGGAAATATTCATTGAAATGGTATTGTTATATAGTCAATGATAAGTTAAGTTTATAATTACTATCAAATATTTTGATTAAATTAAATCAGGTGCCAAAGTAATATAGGAAATATACATTCCTGATTTATATGAATTTAGTTTAATATTCTTCAAAAAAATTATTTAATTGACTATACCTCACTTGTATATTTTTATCTTATAAAAATATGTTTTGAGATAAATTCATACACATTGATGTAATTATTGAAAGAAATATATTTAAATTATTAGACTTTTATGGATTATACTATACATAGATTAGTACAATTGAAACACATGTTACGATAAATTAGAAGTTTATGAATCAAAATAAATTTGTTGTTTAACATGAGTATTGATGAATATCGACCTATTATGATGTAAATAATATTTATAAATTTATTTGTACATTCACTTAAGAATTACAAGCTTGTTAACTCTAATGATTTATTATATACTACATGTTTACAAAGAAAGTTAATGATAATATCATAGTAAAAAGTAAAAAAAAAAGGAATAAATCTATTATATTTTTGGAATCGATATAAGGTGATATTTGTAAACAAATACCACCACTATATGAGTCATTTATAATTGATGTATTGATTAGATGGTTATATATTTATTTAATGTATTCACAGCCATATGTTGATAAAGTTGTTAACTTAATTAATTTAATAATAACTCATTTTTAAATTAAGAAAATTTTATGGTGGAATTACATCTCATAATTTTAATGAGTATTATGTGTCATTTGAAATTGATGTTGAACATCTTGTAGCTTATATTCAAACACAAAATAAATTTGCAAAATCGTTTAGAAATATTTAAAGTTGATTGCAAAATAACATTCAAGAGATTGAATCTTCTAATTATTACTTGATGTTATTCAATTATACATATTGCAGTACACACTTGCATCAAATCAATATATTAGATACTTCCCTTATCTAATTAATTTTGGGTCATCAATAAAATATTTTCATTGGAGGGATTTTCGGGTGTATTCTAATTACACCCTAAAGTAAATTTCAATGGTTCATAATAGAAGATTGAGAATATATGTTGGATATGAATTTCGTTAACAATAGAGTATTTGAACCATTGACTAAATGTTATTTTACAACTCAACTTATCAATTGTGATTTCGATGAATAAGTTTTTCAAGTTTAAGAAGAGAATAACTAGTTGAAAAATTATATTAAAATGAATTATCATTATCTGATACTCATGGAAGAATGTGAACTAGAAATTGAAAATATAATTCATTACAAAATTTAAGTTAAACAAATATCATTTATTTACTAACTCAAAATATAGTGACTAAGTTATATGTATCAACTATCAATGCTCCATTATAATTGATGTTTGTGTTAAGTATTCTAATGTTGCAAGCAAGTCTCAAACATGACATAAGTATAGTGACTCAATGGTTCAAAAACTAAGAATCATTAAATAAGAAAAGACAAGATATGCCACTTGAGGATGCAAATCTCAAAAGATTCATTTATCTAAAAGATAAGATGAGTCAATTCAGGATCAAAATCCTAAAAGATTCATTTGACATAATTAACAAATATTATTTTAAGAATAACTCAGGTACCTAAAATTATTACAAAATTGAGAGATCTTAATTAATTATGTTATGAGTGAAATAGTATGAAATCGAAGTAAAATCAATATTGATGATAATTTTCTTTCTATAATATAGTGCTAAATGTTATAAATGATGTTAAGAATCATAATTCAAAGTTCATAAAGATTGTAAAAAAGAAATGATTTAACAAAATGAAAAGATGAAGTAGAAAAGAATTAGACTTTATTAATAAGTGAAAGAATTTTAAACTTATAGTTCATAATTTGAAGGTGTTAAATCAATTGGATATCAATAACTCTTTGTGAAAAAAAATAAATGAAAATGGTGAAATTATAAAATATAAAACATAATTGATTATTTAAGAAAATTTCAACATACCCGATATTTATTTTTGAATCATATATAATCTATGCAAATACTTTTACATATTTAATTAATCTATTTGCACATGAATGATTAATCTTGCATCTAATGGGTGTTGTTACAACTATTTTGTATGATTATCTTGAAAATGATATTTATGTAAAATTATATGAAGAATTTAATTTGTCAAATGATGTAAATTATAAAGAGAATTACTTAATCAACTTGAATTAAGTTCATTCATGGATTTAAGAAATCACGCATGTAGTATAATTGTCTAAGTATTTTTTTTAAAAGAAGGAAATAAAATCGATCTCATTTTGTCATTATCTCGAAAATAATTTTGTTATATTTGTTTATGTTTGAGCTCTTAAAACATCCTATAAATGAAGTTGATTCTTTTATAAAAAGAAAAAGAATTTGAAATGAAAAATCTTGAAAAGATAAAATTTTATTTGCATTACATATATAATATTTAAATAAAGATACTTTTATAATATGAGTTGTTTCCTTCTTAAATTCTTTCTCTATATTTGTTTTTTTATCCTAAGTGATTAAGTTAATGTGAGACATATACATACTTTAAAGGTTTTATGGGAATAATGTATATCTATTATATACTTGAATAATTAAATGATCTTTAGATGTATTTAAAAATTCTTTTAGATCTTAAAAGAAAAATAAATATTTTTTTCTTGAAATACCGTACCATTATAAAAATATTAATATATCTTATTAATTATAGTAAACTTGATATGACATTTATTATAAATTTACTAACAAGATATAAAAAGATATTTGATTAAGGTAAAATATATATTTCATTATCTTGAGAGTTAAACTTTGTTTTATTCAAATATTTTAACATCATATATAATGAGTTGTAAGAATACAAAATTATTTGTTTGTAGATGTATGTTACTTGTTAGCTCCTCATAATCATCAATCATATAAAAAATATTTGTTTATAAGTAGTAACATTATAAATAACAATATTATCAAATTATACCGTGCAAAATATTTATGATCTATATATCTTTGAGAAAATTAACATTAATAACTATATATAGGTTTCAAAATAATTATGTTTGTGATCTAAAAAGTTTGTTTACGAAAAATTTGATCCATCTCAATGATAATAATTTATATATGAGAGATAACAAAGATATTTTAAAAATGTATTAGATTTTTATCTACAAAATCTTGATAAGATTTTAAGGAGACATTGTTCTATCATTGAACATAAAAGAGAATGTTATAAATAATTATTAGTTGTCTATTTAGTATTAGTAATCTTTATTATCATTTATATGATTTTTATATTTATAATTCTTTAATTACATTTTATATATATAAATAAAATATTTTCCATACAGTGAAATACCAAAAATTTAAATATATATTTTTTCTTTCTTTCATGTTATATATGTCATGATCTTATTTCATAATCATTCTATCCTAAATATTTTTATTTGATTAAAACATAACATAAAATCACATTTCACTATGTTTTTTTATAATTTTTATTGATCTAAGGATTTTTATATTTTAATGATTATGTTATCATTCTTCACGGTAAAATAAAAATTCGCCTAAAACAATACCAACTAGTTCAGTTGACGCTTGTTTGGCATCTTCCTCTGCGCCCGCTCCGTTCTCGGCAGAAACAGCGACGGTGCTCTCAACTTCGGACCAAAACAATGGCTTCATTTGTTTCGACCGATTGTATCCTCCCCATTGGATTTGTGAGTGGCCAAGATCGTTCCTGTGCTACAACCAACATTTTACATCTTCATAATGCTCCTAAAACCCCAAGCCCTCTCTCCATTTCGCTCTCTCTGCGAGGTTACATTTTTAATCCTTGCTACTGTTTGGTGATTGCTCATATACGTAGTCAACTAAGAATCCGATTTTCGGAGTTTTGTTTAATCTCTGTTTTCTTTAGATGCAGAAGTTACGCCACGCATTGCTGTTCAGAGCAAGGGTCGATCATCTTTGACACGGACAGATGCTGTGCGGCATCTGACAGGTTCTGTTACCAAAGCCCACGGACTTCGTTTTGCTGTGGTATGTATCTATGTATTCCAAAGTTATTCGGTCAGATTTTTCCCTAAATATTGTTAAGAGAAAATATGAAATAACTTTTAAAAATAACTTCATAAAAAATAAGCTTTTGGAAATGCTGAAAAGAAAGAATTTTTAAAAATTAACTTGTAGACAATTTAATTTATGGAAAAAAATTATATCATGTTTTTCTTCTATTATAAGTACATATGCAGAAGTTTATCGAAAAAAAATGCCAAATTAATTCATGTTTTTGTCTTGGGCAATGAGTTTTGTTGGTCTTATATTATTTTCCTGCGTTGTTTTTCAGTCAGGCAGTGTTTCTGCTGTACATTTTGATGCTTGAAGGGGGAAAATAGCAGCAACATGATGAAATATTATTCTTGGAGTTAGGGCTTGTTACTTTTAGTTTATTGATTGAAAACCCTTGACATTCAAAATCTGATGTTGGACAGCAAGTAGGTTATAACTTAGTGGGTCACGTTTTGGGTCTTTTATTTTTTGGATGCATAGTAAAAGAATAGGTAGAGTAGGGTTTCATAGGAGGCATGTGAAGCTAAGGACTAAGGAGGTGATGGAACTGTAGGGATGGGTAATTTGAAGAATCAATTAGGGTTTTCGTTGGCTGAATTATTTATGACGTCTTCCGAAATAAACCGGGTCTGGTGGAAAAACTAAATAAAAAGAGAGGGAGAGAGAGGGCCTTGTCATAATTAGACGATTTCCCTCATCATTGCAAAATTTGAGGTATTAGGCTTAAACAAGAACATTTTAATAGACACTTGGATTGGCATGGTCTAATTAAGGCATCAAGAAGTTAGTATGCTAGTTGGAGCTTTCTTACTCTGCTATGACAAGAAGAGAGATCGATGTCTTTTAGGTATAATGAATTCAGCAGATGAAAACCAATGCTTGTGTGTATCATGCGGCAAGCTATTTGGAGATGTTTACTGTCACGAAAGGAATGAGTGGAAGTTAAAAGAGGTCGTTTAATGAGCTACTCAGATATCCATAAATAGATGGAAAGTGGAAATATGGTTCCCATCATTCATGCCAGACGATGGTTATCGGGGAACTCACCATCCACCAATTTGGATAATGATTAATGGTTTACATTTAGCATTTGAGCTATGTTGTAGACAGAAGCTTGCCTAGAGCACCCACCCTGTTTAAATTGCATACTAAATTTTGATGGTCCTTTAACTGGTCATTAGAGAAGACTGAAGAGAAAGTAAGTGAAGAAGTAGAGGATAAGATATTAACCTAAAGAAAGCACCAAAAATATAAGAGAGAAAACATCTAGGGAGACTATGTGATCATACCAATCTCTATGCTCGTAAACGACTGTTCCTTCTGAAGTCATAGCAGCCTAGGATTACAAAAGATAACTGCAAATTATTCCATAGAAGTATAGACCACCAAAGGATGCATCTTTACTCCTCCTAGAGCGTCTAAAATGGTTAATTAGAACTTAGTCCAAATCTTTGAACAAGAACAACTGTAATTTTCCCTCAAAGTACTAAAAAGATGTACTAAAGATATTTGTTAAAGGCTCAACACAAACATCTTTGTGTGGCCAAACTTGTAACAAGTCATTTGTATTGATCCTGTTAAACTTAACAGGCCCAATGAAAGACTTCCACTTGGAACGAATGTTAGCTTCGCAAGTTGGATTGCAAAAGTAAAGTTCTCTTTTTGGAGAATGAGTTAGGAATTTCAACAGAGTCTAGTTCCCAAATCCTTTTCCACAGATGAAGATGATAAAATGGTGAAACACAGCGAGGGTGATTCCAATTTTAAAACTTCTTGGTGATTGACTAAGTATTTGACAATAATGAAAATTCGAAGAGTTGGATGTATTTTGGAAAGAGTGGAACATGCCAATGGAATGGCGTTGATGAAAACTGTAGTTGGGATATGAAATAGAGAAACAACGTGGTAGTGAATCATGAAGAACTTATGATATTCTTTTTCAAGATTTTTGCGTTTATTTTCTACTTCAAACTGGATTGTACTCGTCACTTTTTCTACTTATTTTATGCTTCTTTGCTTACATCTATTTTCTCTTCTTTTAGGTTGTTGCACGATTTAATGAAATCATTACCAAGCAGCTGTTGGAGGGAGCTTTGGGTACTTTTAAGAATTATTCAGTTCAAGATGAGGACATTGATGTGAGTAAGCTGTCTTATGAATTCTTGGAATATTGATTATTTGTTATCTACAATTTTCAATTGTAATTTGGTTAGCATTTGTGGCTTTAATATTTATCTTTTGGTCGTTTTGCAATGAGTCTCAGCATCCTTTTTGGAATTTTTTTTTTCACTTTTTCTGTTATGTAAAATATTCATTTTTACTGAAATATGAAGTAAAGAAAAATTATGCATGGTTAATATGCTAAAACCTTAAAAACACATGACATAGGACATGGATATAATATGACACATGAAAAAACGGAAACTTTAATAAATTCTAAGACATGATACGACTATAATTCAAAATATAAAATTAAAATAAAACAAAATGTTAAGTGAAATAGAGAATCAATGTTCTAAAAATGAATACAAGTCATATTAGACTTAGCAAATTCTTTCATTTATCCAAATTTTTTATGTTTGTCGTGTAAGTTTAAAAAATAAAGGTAAAATAAAATTGTAAAATGCAGCCAGTAGTATTTGAAATGTCTGACTAGTATGTGCTTGACCCAGGTAGAACATGTCACCGCTACTATTTTGAAGTGTCCATGCTTCCTTGTCTAAAACAAGAGGCCAGTGTTTTACTTTTGGCTGCTCTCCTATCTTTCTTTAATCAAATACTGGAGTTTATAAAAACATTTACCCTTTTCTATCTTAACAAACTTTTTCATTTAGCAGGTCTATTAGTTGTATAATTATGTTTCCATTGGTCATGACTTTAGACAAAAAAAATTGTGCAATTGTTTTACCTTGTAAAATATTGCATTCAGTGATATATGAATTGGAGACTATTTGCCTAGTTCAGAAATTTTGTATCATTTTCTGCTAGATTTTAATACTGACAAAAACTTGTACTTTCTCTTCTCCCTTAGGTTGTATGGGTGCCTGGTAGTTTTGAAATTGGTGTCGTCGCAGAAAGACTAGGAAAATCGGGCAAATATCATGCAATCTTATGCATAGGAGCTGTGGTATGATAAGTCTTGACATATAGTTGAAATTCTTTCATAATATTTTATTCCATAATATTTATGTCTATTTAATTTGAGCTTCTACTGTGACCAAACTTTTTGTTAACAGATACGGGGAGACACCACCCACTATGATGCAGTTGCTAATTCAGCAGCATCTGGAGTGCTTTCAGCCGGTCTAAACTCAGGTGGTATTCTGTTAATGTTAATTGTAATCTCGTGATTGTAACAGATCATACTTGAGTATTCAACTGCTTTGTGTTTCTTGAAAATGAAACATTCATGCAATATGGGAACTTGTTTTTGTTGAATCTAGAATCAAAGGTTGAGAAAAAACTTGAAATTTGAGAATTATTTGGTTGATTCTTTTTTCCTTTTCAAGCCAGTAATGCAATGCCTGTGTAAGTTAACTTTGACTTTCATTTGTTTATGAATGGGGCAGTTAGGGCTTGTTTGTTTAGTGTTTTTAAAGACAGTTTTCAGTTTTTTAGTTTTTAAAAAGTAAACAACTTGTTTAATAACTATTTTATTAAAACAATAAAAAAACTGTTTTTGTTTTTTAGTTTTTAAAAACTAAAAAACCAAAACTGACAAAAGATGTTTTATGTTTTCGTTAATGGTATCCACGTCTTCACTAATAGTTGTATTACATAGCCATCTTTGTTACCATAGAGTTATCAAAATCGTTTTCCAACTTTTGTTGCGACTTTTCATTGCTATTGATGTATTCCTTTTTCGTCTAAAACAATTTCCAAGTTAGAGTTATCAAATAAGTTATTTTTCCAACTTTTTCTGATATAGATTTTCAAAATTGATCTCTAAAACTGTTTTAAAAACTAAAAAATAAAACTAAATCAAACAAGCCCTTATTTCTGTTACACTTTTGAAGTATTTGTTGTCTATGTTTTTTTTTCTCATTAATTGCCATTAACACACAAAATTAAAGCATTTTGAGATGCCTTTGCAGGTGTTCCATGCATATTTGGTGTTCTTACATGTGATAATATGGATCAGGTAATTATTTGCTGTGCAAGTTATGGAATTTCTTCTTTGCAGATGAGACATGATTACTTTGATTTTTATTTGTTCTTCTTTGGCTAAGTGAAGGCTCTAAATCGTGCTGGTGGCAAATCTGGAAATAAGGGTGCTGAGGCTGCATTGACTGCAGTAAGTTCATAACTTGAAATTAGGAAGTAATTATGCAATAATCATTTAGAAATCACATGAAGCTACCTAAATGTTTATACTTGTTAGAATTATTATTAGTTAGTGGTTAGTGGTTGGTGGTTGGTGGTTGTTAGTAGTTGGTTGTTGTTGTTTTAAATGTTCTAATCCTATATATATATATGAGATCATAGAGTGGAGTAAGTATCCCACAAAATTAGAAATCTTCTTTTCATTTTCTTTACTCTCTTAACTTGATATCAGAGCAGGTTGGTCCTGCTTTGCCTGTCCGGCCACCGTTCGGCCACCGTCCGACCATTTTCGGTCACCGGCCGACCATTTTCCGGTCACCGTCCAACCATTTTCCGGTCATCGTCCGGTCATTTTCCGGCCATCGTCCGACCACTTTCCGGTCACTTTTCGGCAACCGTCATTCCCCCATCCAGTCAACTTTTTTTTTGCTGCCGCTCGACGACTTTTCGACCACCTTCCTGTAACCTTCCGACTATCTTGGGTGTTCTCTTTCTTACAGGTTCCATTGTCTCCATCTTACATCTACATTATTTAAAACATGTCGTTAGGGCCCACAACCTCCTTTTCCGGAACTCCCACGATAACTGCTGAGAAATTAAATGGAAAAAATTATATGTCTTGGTCCTCTTCAGTGGAACTTTGGTTCCTTGGACAAGGGTTTCACGATCATCTAGAAGAAGACGGAAGTAAGATACCAGAAGATCAGACTCAACAATGGAAAAAGCTTGATTATCAACTCTGTGCTCTACTGTGGCAATCAGGAGAACCAAATATTTTGAACACTCTCAGATCCTTCAAAACATGTAACTCTTTCTGGAAAAAAACTTAGAATATCTTCGCAAATGATATCCAACGCCTCTATGATTCCGCTAATCGATTAGCCTCTCTCAAGCAAGTGGATAAAGATATGATGACCTTTATTGCTGAAGCTCAATCAGCAGTTGAAGAATTAAAGATGTTCCTAGAGGTGGATTCGTTAGAGGAGATAAAACAAAAGTTGGATAGATTCTATATGATTATGACTCTCCGAGCTATGAATTCAGAATTTGATCATGTTAGAGATCAAATTTTAACTGGACAAGAAGTTCCTTCTATGGAAAGTTTGACTACAAGACTGCTTCGTGTTCCAACTCTCAAAGGAAAAAATAATCAAGAACTTTTTGAATCTTCTGCTATGATTTCTATCCGTGGAAGAGGAAGTCGCGGCACTAGAGGAGGACGTGGAGGTAGAGGACGTCCTCAGTGCACTCATTGCAAGAGAATGGGTCATACAGTGGAAAATTGCTACTCTTTGCACGGTTTTCCTGATAAAAATGTCAATTTTTCCAAATCTGAAATGGTTGAACCCAAGTTCTCTCACGAAGAATACCAGGAATATTTGAGGTTGAAATCCAGTAATCTAGCACAGTCATCAACAATCCCAAATTCATCAACAGCTTGCATTTCACAATCTGTGAAAAGTCAAAATCCATGGATTATTGACTCAGGTGCTTCTGATCATATGTCTGGTAATGCCTCTTTGTTCTCTTCTCTCTCATTTCCTAAAACTCCTCATCTCATAACCTTAGCCAACGGATCTAAAGTAGCCTCTAAAGGAACTGGTCAAGTCTCCATTTCTCCGTCTTTAAACTTAAAATCTGTTCTTTTTGTTCCTTCATGTCCCTTCAGTCTCATTTCTCTAAGTCAATTAACCAAATTATTGAATTGTTCAGGTAACCTTTAATGCTAATTCTTTTGTTATACGAGGAACGTGGTACGGGTCGACAGATTGGCGAAGGACATGAATCTGGAGGCTTATACTACCTTGGGACTAAATCATCCGTATCTTGTGTTGCATCCTTGTCTCCAAAACTATTACACAAACGGTTAGGGCACCCTCACTTATCAAGATTAAAAAAAATGGTTCCTGAACTTCAGACTCTTCAAGATTTTGAATGTGAATCATGTCAACTAGGGAAACATACTAGGTCCTCTTTTCCTAAACGTTCTGAATCTAGATGTGACTCTGTCTTTTCTCTTGTTCATTATGATATTTGGGGTCCTAGTCGTGTCTCATCCTTTGGCTATAGATATTTTGTTACCTTCATTGATGAGTTTTCTAGGTGTACTTGGATTTATCTAATGAAAGACCGTTCTGAATTATTACCTATCTTTAAGTCTTTCCTTAACGAAATCAAAAATCAATTTGGAAAAGTAATCAAAGTTTTACGAAGTGATAATGCCAAAGAATATTTTTCTACTGATTTCTCCACTCTCTTAAGCTCCCAAGGCATTTTACACCAGTCTACTTGTCCTCACACACCACAACAAAATGGTATAGCAGAACGAAAAAATAGACATTTGGTTGAAACTGCTCGTACCTTATTACTTGGTGGAAATATGCCCGTTCATCATTGGGGAGATGCTATTCTTACTGCATGTTTTCTCATTAACAGAATGCCATCTTCTTCTCTTAACAATAAAGTTCCACACTCTATTCTATTGCCAAAGGACCCACTTTTTCATGTTTCTCCTCGTGTATTTGGTTGCATATGTTTTGTTCATGATATGTCTCCAGGTTTAGATAAACTAACAGCTAGAGCCATTAAATGTGTCTTCTTGGGATATTCTCGTCTTCAAAAAGGATATCGATGTTATTCTCCTGAAACCAAGAGGTACTACATGTCTGCTAATGTCACTTTTTTGGAGTCAACTCCCTTCTTCCCTTCTTCTATGTAGGATATTAGTTCGGTCCAAAATGTCCTACCTATACCCTTAGTGGAGCCATTTGTACCTCCTCCTCCTGACACCCAAAATTCCACACAAAATACACCGGAATCCTCATCACTGCCTCTTATTACCTATCAAAACAGGAGCCAAATGATCAATCCCATGTCCCAAGATGAGTCTTCCTCAGCAGATCCTTCTCAATCATCCCCTGATACCACGATTCCTGATAATGATGACTCAAGTTGGCCCATTGCCATTCACAAAGGTACTCGCTCTACTCGTAATCCATATCCCATTTACAATTTTCTTAGCTACCATAGATTGTCTCCTTCCTATTTTTCTTTTGTTTCTTCTGTATCCACTATTACTATTCCAAAAAATGTGAAAGAGGCACTTGATCATCCTGGATGGCGACAAGCCATGATTGATGAAATGTAGGCTCTTGAGCACAATGGTACATGGAACTTAATTCCTCTTCCACATGGGAAGAAGACTGTTGGTTGTCGTTGGGTCTATGCCATTAAAGTTGGACCAAAAGGTGAAGTTGATCGACTCAAAGCTAGATTAGTAGCAAAAGGCTATACTCAGATCTATGGCCTTGATTACAGTGATACTTTTTCTCTTGTGGCCAAAATGACTACTGTTCGACTTTTCTTTGCTATGGCAACTATCCGTCATTGGCCTCTTCATCAGTTAGATATCAAGAATGCGTTTTTGCATGGTGATCTTGAGGAGGAAATTTATATGAGCAACCTCCTGGTTTTGTTGCTCAGGGGGAGTCTAGTTTGGTTTGTAAGTTACATCGTTCTCTCTATGGTCTCAAACAATCTCCACGTGCTTGGTTTGGAAAGTTTAGTCACATTGTTCAAAGTTTTGGATTAAAACGAAGTGAAGCAGATCATTATGTTTTTTATTATATTTCTTCAGGAAAATGTGTTTATTTAATTGTATATGTAGATGATATAATCATTACAGGGAATGATGTTGATAAAATTTCTTTGCTAAAGAAACATTTATGCAATCACTTCCAAACTAAGGATCTTGGTTGTCTCAAATACTTTCTAGGGATTGAAGTGGCTCAATCAAAAGAAGACATCGTAGTCTCCCAAAGAAAGTATGCTTTAGATATCCTGGAAGAAAAAGGCATGATTGATTGTAGACCAGTAAACAACCCTATGGATCCAAATCAGAAATTAATGGCGGATCAAGGTGAACCGCTCTCGATCCTGAGAGATATAGAAGACTTGTTGGGAAACTCATTTATCTCACCATTACTAGACTCGACCTATCTTTTGCCGTTGGAGTTGAGTCAATTTATGCAAAATCCGCGTATCGATCATTGGAATGTCGTCGTTCACATCCTAAAATATCTCAAAAAGCTCCAGGACAAGGTCCGTTGTATGAAGATAAAGGGGTACCCAAATATCCGGGTATTGTGATGCTCGATTGGGCTGGATCCCCTATGGACGGACGCTCCACTACAGGATATTGTGTTCTCATTGGAGGCAATATTATTTCTTGGAAAAGTAAGAAACAAAATGTAGTGGCCCGGTCTAGTGCTGAAGATGAATATAGAGCAATGACATCTCTCACTTGTGAACTAGTGTGGGTGAAACAATTCCTTCAAGAACTGAAATTTTGTGAGATCCAACAGATGAAGCTGTATTGTGACAATCAAGCAGCTCTCCACATTGCCTCTAATCCGGTGTTCCATGAAAGGACCAAACATATAGAACTTGATTGTCATTTTATTCGTGAAAAATTGTTGTCTAAAGAAATTTGCACTGAATTTGTTGGGTCCAATGATCAACTTGCAGATGTGTTGACAAAGTCTTTAAGAGGACCTCGAATTGAATTTATTTGTTCCAAGCTTGGTACATACAATTTGTATGCTCCAGCTTGAGGGGGAGTGTTAGAATTATTATTAGTTAGTGGTTAGTGGTTAGTGGTTAGTAGTTGGTGGTTGGTGGTTGTTAGTAGTTGGTTGTTGTTGTTTTAAATGTTGTAATCCTATATATATATATATGAGATCATAGAGTGGAGTAAGTATCCCACAAAATTAGAAATCTTCTTTTCATTTTCTTTACTCTCTTAACTATACTCATTGTCAGTTGTTGTTTTCATGTATCTTGTAGTCCTATCTTTGTATATGCCATGAACTAATTACAGTAAAACTCAAATTGTTAGTTGATGGTTAATGCATAATCTTATTTTATATCTAACATATTTTTATATCATGTCATAACTAGAGCTAACTTCCTCAAGAACATAAGATGTTTGACAAAGACTCATGAATGATTTTATTACATCTTTGTTGGTTTATCTCTTCTTATTGAATTTCTTTTTCTATTATAAAATCAACTTACTTGCACTTTTGGTTCCTCTATTATGCATAATGCATGATTTTGCTTCTTATTTGTTTTTTGCTTAAATTTAAAATTACTACAAACAAGTCCCGTTGTCAAGTTCCTTTTGTCTGAAGGCTTAAAGCCCTTGATACTCATTTTCGTCTAAAATAATTTGGGTTGGATCTTATTTTGATAGAAAATTATTTGAACGCATCATATTCTCAGGCTCTAGTAAAAGTTTGATAAAATTCAAAGATTTGTTAGAAAGAGTTTTTGGTTTTAAAGGGGGGAAAATATTTTGAAAGATTTGTATCAGATCAATTATTTCGGATTTTGTCTTTTTATTTAAGGGACAACACTTTAATTTAGAATAAAATGAAATTTCATTGACTAGAGTTAAAGTGGAGTCTCAAACCAATACATGAATTCTTCTAGTGGATATTTTTTCATTTAAGGGACAACATTTATTGAACAAAAGGTACTATACATAATAAGTTTTAGATAAAAGCTTGTTCAAAGTATTAAATCTCATCTTATAAATGATAGCGTGTTCTAAGTTACAAAGCACATTGGGAGAGTGGGATTGATGTAGTTGATATTGGTTTCTTGGATCTTTTCTTGGTGTCTCCTTTGAATGCGTGTTGCATTCAAGGATGGCTACGCCATCTCTTGGAAATTTCTTCAACATGATATGAGTCTCCAACAACAAGTGGTAGTAAAGCAGGCAAGCGCTTGGGTGATGCATACGACAACCTTTGCTCAAGCCCTCACCATTTGTGTAGTGTGCCTTTAAGTCAATTACCTACAATGTTTATTAAAGGTGATGACTATCAAGATGCCAAAGGGGGATTATAAATTGGGGTTGGAGAGGTGTAAGAACCATTTACAATGGATTACTCCTTGGTGATAAACCACTGGAAAGTTGTCATGTTAGGAAAGGGGTCTCTTGGATTTTCTTTCTCTTCTTTGGTGGATTTGTGAAAAGTATTGGCTATCAACTTTTGGGACCTTGGGTTGCTGTTGCTGTTGCTTGTTCAATTGGAGTGTAGATTTCCAAGCCTACTACCCTGGGTCAATAAAACACCCAGTGTTGGGTTAGAATAATGGGCTTAGGAGTACTAGGGCCAAACATTTTGTTCTCCATTGTTTGTGGGGTTGGAGTGCCATTATCGTTGGATGAGTTTATGGTTCAAAATACTTGCGGTCTTTTTGTGCGTCTTAGTTGACATTGATATGAAGAGCCATTGTCCACAGCAGATTCTTTGTATGCAGAGGAAAAACTAGAAAATTAGTCTCAGGAGGGCCCGAACATGCAGATTTTTTTAAGGGGACTGTAATACATTTTTTAATAAAATTTAAAAAAGATAATTTTTTTTGGGGGGGGGGGGGCATAATATATTGCCAGCCTCGCTGGTTCCGCCCCTGGGTGTATGAGAGGCTGCCAGAATTTTGCGAGAATTGTCAGATAATAGGGCACTCAATGGTCAACTGTAGAAGGGGGTCAATGTGCATGTAAAAGGGGGTCAGCGTGGACAACAAACTTTGCAAGAAAGCAACGAAAAGGAACAAATTCGGATCACTGGCGCAAGTTAGAAAGATAGACTTAACATAGAAGATGTAGGCAAGATGGCCAATGCTCATCCATGCATTGCACAACAAAAAGATTGGGGGGGGGGGGGTCAACGTAATGTAGAGTTTGCAACATTGTAGTTCGTAGGTACTTGCAGAGGGTTGAAATTCATCTACAAAATCTCCGCTTGGGTCAAGGTGCTCAAGGAAATCACAACATGGTCTGGGAGCTGGTTTGGGTTCGTCATTAGTTATGGAATATTCTTGTAGAGGATGGGGTAAATGATAGTCTAGGTGGGATGCCAAATCTTGAAGATATAGTTCAAGAGGATCAAGGCTTGAAGATTGTTACTCCTCATGTAGTAGCAGCTACTATGGGTGTGGAAATTAATAGGAGTCTCTGTACTCCTAGGATTCAGGCTAAACTGATTATAGCTAGTGGCGGGCATACTAGGGTTTCAAGACACCTTGCTTAAATTTGGTGGTGTTGCATAGTTGATTGATGCATTGTTCAGATTCTGGGGATGGTTTTCAGGTATGGTTGTTGTATGTATTGTGGTGGATGGGTGTTTAGTATGCTGGTGTTAAGGTTTTGCGGGTGAGATTTTACTGAATTTTGGCTACAATGTTGGGAAGGAGCATTCAAAGTGGGTTCAGTCATATGGCGAGAGTTAATCGACTGGTTGATAGGCAGTTGGGCATGGTTCTGCAAGTTTATGCATGAGTAGCCATGCAGTGGTTGTTTGTATAGGTGTTTTGGGGGTGAAGTTAGTTGTTGGTGGGGCTTGTTTGGTTTGGCATGAGGAGAATCTGGTTGTCAGATGTGTCTTGTAGGGTTTGGGGTTTTGATTGGGTAGTAGGGTGCGCATTTATGCCTGCATGCGAGGAGAGTGCTGTTTGTTTTACATGATGATTTGCCTGGGGGGTTGCATGTGGTTTGTGGCGGGGTGTCGTGATGATTTTGCGCATGGATGTAGTAAATGTTGGTGCGGCACATGTTTGATGGGAGAGCTGCTGTTTAGGAATGTGTTAAAAATTTATGATTGGGAAGTTTATTGTGTTGTGGGCATGGGCCGAGGTTGGTCTTGTTTTGCACGGGGAGTTTTGTTCGTGAGTCATTCATGCGTTGCATTTGATTTTTCTCTTGGAGTTGGTTCTTTTGGATTTTTGGTTTGAGTCATGAGTTTGGTCAAGTTCCCTCATGATTTTCAAGTAGTTCTTTTATTATTTTACATGATAATTTGACATGTGACATTTTTTGGGAAGTTTTTCACATGTGAACTTTCAGATAAAAAAATTACGTATCACATGTCAATATAATCTCAAGCTTTTTTGTGAGTAGCGTTGGAAAACCTTGTTTAATGTGTTTGTGGTTCGGTTTTTTAGGTTTGTTTTAAACATGAAACTGAATAAAGAACTGTGGATTTTGTAGTTTTCACTATTTTAGGTCAATTGTTGAGTTTAGAACGGTTTGGATTGGTTTTTGGCACTCCTTCATTACATCTAGTTCGATTTGGCATAGAGCTTCATCCAATTTTCAGATAAAATGGTCAATTGTTGGACATTTTTAAGAATGTAGTGTAGTAAATGTCAAAAGTTGATCTAAGCCCACATAGGCAACCATATGAAAAACTCTTACTCTAATGTCGTAGATTAACATTACACGACCATTTTCAATGTAGTTATGAAAATTCCATTGTGAATTGCAAGTCTGCAAAGAACTTAATACATATGGGATTAACATCCCGAATTTTTCATAAATTTTCTTAAAAGGTTGCAACAGGTATTTGTTGAGCAACAACTTATTTGTCCTTGTCCTTTCTAGTTGAATAAATGTTTTATACACATGAGTTATTTGTGTACAGATTGAGATGGCATCTTTGTTCGAGCACCATCTGAAGTAGTCAGTGGTTTAACCAATCTCCTAGAGCTTTTGTCTAAACGGCATGTAATTCCCAATTTTCAGATTTTCATCTCCAGATTGCTTTTGTTGTAGTTCCAGATATATTCTTATATGGTAAGTGGAATGTAGCAGGATTTAATGGAAGAAAATGGAATAAAATAAAATCAAACTATGATTTTCTTGATTAAATATTTTTTAATAGAACACACTAGTTTCATTCAATTACTGATTACTAAGAGTTATAATTTATTAAGTTTTGTTATTTAATGTAGAATTGGGACTATATCGAGTATGAATGTTTATGAATTTCTTATCAATGCTTATTTTTATCTACTCTTTTGTTTAACGTAGTCTGTTAGTTTATTTTCCAGTACTCTAGTATTTGGCATCTATCACATAGGTCAGTGGTGAGAACTAGTAGGATGTAAGCTTTTCATAAGCAGGGCATCTTCAAAGGAGATGTTTCCAAGAATTGTTTGAGAACAAAATCACATATAAAGTTTATAATAAAATATTTCTTTTTATTCTTAAGTTATTGTTCTAATTCTACGTGTCAGCAGTGGAATTTGTCAGATAGCTTTGCTACAGGGATGTCTATCAGTGTAAAAGTTTGGTAATGATTTAGAGTGTAGACCCTGTAGTGGTTTCATTTCAGACTAACAGAAGATAGGAGTACCATATCTTGGAAAATACTGTATTTATTTAATTAATTTTTATATGTAACTTAAAAAGACAAGTGGTGAAGGGTGGTGCAAGAAAAAGTAGTGAGGAATTGAGGAAAATGTTTAACTAGATAAGAAAACCTTTTTCAGGTTGTGTTCTGGTTTTTTAAGAACTTGTTTTGTCAACAAATTTTTATACTCAACAGATTTTAAATGAGAAATTTATTGCAGAAGTACATAGTGTAGAATATTTCAGAAAATATTTTTATTGAAAGATTATTTTTATTGGCAACGCTGAGGTTGATAAGAGTGAAGGGTGAACATAAATTAATCTTTTAAAGTTAAATAAACATTTTAGAAGTTGATAAAAAGAAATGACAGTTAATTCTAACAAATTCATAATTAAAATAACTTATAATCATACCTGTCGATAAAAACAGTTATATTATTTTATATTTTTTTAACAACTAAAGCATTATATTTCTAACGTGGCATGGTTTTAATGACTATAAATTACAATTTGTCTGTGTAGTTTCTTTTTATAAATTTTAGTATGGTAAGTCTACTGGCCTGTTTAGTAATATGTCCATGAGTCCATAAATGTATTTGTATTTTCCATAATAAGGTTTAACCATAAATGTATTAGTAATTTTAGGAGTAGATCCCTTTGGTCTAATTAAAACCTTAATGTGCAAGTAAGCAAAAGATAAACACTTCCTGTATATACTCTAAAAATGAATTTTTGGATTAAGAAAATAAAAACCTAAACATCTTAACAAGCCTAACAACTGGTCTGACCAGGCCGTGGGTAAGCAGAATCATCGTCTAAGACATATTTTATATGTTTTTCAAGATCAGGAAATTAGGTAGCAAATCAGTTGATACTGTGAGAGATGAGAGGATACAATTCTAACCCTGGTGTACTTACTTTTAAATCTGCACTTGCTAATTATTCTTAAATTTGTAATTACTCGTCAACAAACCTTTCATTTATAGCTCATTGTCTAAAATTTAATAATGATACTCACTTTGAAAATATTACAAAATTATTATTAGGAGCGTACCAGTCAACAATATCAAATATAGCATCTCTTCAGCCAACTTCATTCTCATAATTTCATGATTAAAATTTGTAGAGGTGGTATTCAGAGATGCTGCCATGTATAAGAATATATTTGATTTGCACGTGAAATTAAATTAATCCAGTTGAATTAAAGTGATTTAAAGTACAAAACAAGTACGTAAAGTTTTGAAAAACAGCAATGACTTGAAATTAAAGAAAGTTAAGACTTGTGGGATAAGGCAAAGTTGCTGATGATATTCCAAAACGACCCTCAAACGTTCCACACCAAAATCCTGCAACCTTCCAAGCTTTGGTTTTCTGATTTGACCAAGACTCCATTATTTGTTTACTTTTTTTTAAATAATAAATATTAATAAATGTTCTTATTCTCTTTCGGTGTTGAACAATTCTTGATTAAGTATGAGCTTAGTTTTGGTGTGAAGATTGCTGTCCAATTAGTTTTCGATGTATGGTAAACTCCACCTTGTGATTGATTACTGCATCACTTTTAAAGCATCATGTAATGAATACAAAAAATAATGGAATCAAACTGATGGAATTGTTTTTATTCAAGAATCTAGCAATTACACAAAATGTTAGAGATAATTGACGTAAGAAATAAATTGAAACCCAATTAAGATAGAAAAGGAAGAAGATCTCATTTAATTTCATTCTCCCTCTTTCTCTCTCTTGAATTTATGCTATTTATACCAGTAGCTGTTTCTTTATGAAATCTCTCGTCCAAACACTTTTTTTCTTGGATCGCTCGTTTATTTTCCTTGTCATGTTTTCCATGCCTTCAACCACATGATTATTTACTATTGGTCTATTCATAACAATCTTTATCTCATCCCTTCCATGCATTCTCCTTACATTACCTCCCCCAACAAAATCGACCTTATCCTTAAGGTTGAATCAAGGATAAACTCTTGTAATTATATTAGTGTCTTCCCAAGTTGCTTCCTCTTATGATCCATTTTCCCACTGAATTAAGGTTTATTGAACCTCTTGGTCACCTCTAAGAACAATTCTTGTCTTCAAAGATGTTACTGATTGAATGAGTGGAGGAATCTCACTGTCACAAATTGATAAGGGAACATATGGATGATCATGACTATTCCTATACAACTTAGCTAAGAAACATGAAATACTAGATAATTGAAGCTTGTAGGCAACCTTTCCAATCCTTTCTACAATTGCAAAAGGGTCAAAATACCTTAATCCAAACTTTTGATTCTTCCTCAAAGCCAAAGAATATTGTCGATAAGACTGAAACTTAACTAGGACCAATTCACCAATCTAAAATTCAACATCTAACCTCTTTTTATTAGCCTATTGCTTATAAATCTGCTGAGCTCTCTACAGATTGAACTTGAGTTTCTGCAGGATGTCATCTTTGGAAAACAATTGTTCTTTCATTGTTACTTGATCAGACTCTTATGGAACATACTTAAGTATCTTAGGTGAATCTCTCCCATACATAGCTCTAAAGGGAGTCATACTCGTGTTGGTGTGGTATGATGTATTGTACCAATATTCAACTCATATAAGCATCTTATACCAATCCTTGGGAGCATCAAAAGTAAAGCATATGAGGTATAACTACAAGCGTTTGTTAAGGATCTCAAACTGCCCATTTGTTTGAGGATGGTATGTAGAAGACATATTGAGTGTTGTGCCATTGAGTTGCCATAGGAATGTCCAAAATTTGCTAGCAAAGACCTTGTTGTCTCTATTAGGGACTATGGATTTAGGCCATCCATGTAATTTCACTATGTTTTTAAAGAAAATTTTAGCAATTGATTTATTGGTGAAATCCTACTCCATTGGAGTGAGGTAAGTTGTTTT